GCCTGATGCACAGTGCAGTGCTGGATCTTTGTATCCAGTTTGCTTGCACACTCTGTCTTCCTCCCTGGACTGAGTTTATCTCTGTTGTTCCTTAGGAAGGAACAGGGTTCTCAAAGTCAGTGTGACCACACACTGCCAAAGGGCTCTCTTGCATTATTCATATCTAGAAGACAACATTTATTTTTAATGCATTACTAAGCCATGTATTTACGGCCTTTCATGTTTAACAGTAAAAACAGCGACTGATTATAACCAGTGCTAGCAGAGATTTTGCCAACAGGTTTTTTTGAACACTTCCTTTGGGAGTAAACACCACGCCAGTTAAGATCAATATGCACATATAGACTCAAAGTTCTCACAGATTCCAGGAATCTCTTCCATGGAAAAAACTGGATATTCACACATACGTGTTGATATTTATTTCACTGTTACGTGATAAAGCAAAGAAAAAAGTCCCATTCAAATACAGAGTAAGAAAACCAGCCAAGCGACCAAAATAAAGCATTAGTTCAGAAAACAGATAGAAAATAAAATTATTCACAGTGATTAAGCGGAAAAAGCTGATTAACAGTGTTACTGGCCGTGTGTTTAACTGTTTATTTTTCTCTTACAACAGCATCTTCTAGTGAGATCACAGATAAGTGCCATCTGGTGACAAACCTTCCATTTGTTTTACAGCAGTTACTTCTTGCAAGTGTACTTTATTGGCAGGTGGAATGTACGGAAATAAAATCCTAATAAATCCCTGCATTTTGCCTGAAAACATACAAATGACTACTTTCAGCGGAGGTTTCTGCATCCAGCTGTGTCCCATGAGGAGCTGTTCGTGGAAGGTGGTGTGACGGGCAAGCTTTTGTCCTGCATCTGCTTAGAAATGTCCCTCCTGCACGGGGGTCTGCATGTCCTTCCCAGGGCCACCCTCTGACTGGCGCTAGAAAGAGTCTTTTCAAAAGAATATTTAACTTTTATGTATTTGCCTGCTTTTGTGAACTTCCATCCTCTACCAGTGAAGCATATGCATCATATTAAAATTATGTGAAAATCTGAAACAATATTCCTAAAGTTATGTTTTAAAAATAGCATGCAGCCCAAATCATTCTTGTCTAAGTAGAAATATGTTTCCGAAAACTACAAAATTGTCTCTGGTCACTTATAATTAAAAAAAAGAAAAAAGGAAAAGGAAAAAAATAATGCATCACTCTGGTATTTCTTGTTTTCTGCCTATTGTTTAACTTCTTAAATATATCACAATATCACTGGCACTGGAAATAAATGTGTGATAGGAAATACTTCACCATTTTCTAGGGTTAGTGACCACTTTATCGAGATACTTATGCACATCAATGAATTTGTCATAATTTGAGACTTAGTAGCTAGTTCCCAGAAATCAGCAGTGACTTCATACAAACACTCACATACACACACTCACACACACACACTCACACACACATATACACATGCATTTTTTTGTATGTGTGTCTTTATATACACAGACATGCATAGATACTTTTATTAGCTGAAAGTACAAAGTCAGAGAATCTTTAATAAACTGCTTTTTTACGATTATAAATGCCTTAGATGATTATGTTTTCCTGACTTTAAATTTACTAGCCAATCATGCTTTAGGTTTTTCATTTCTCATGCCCCTTCAACCATTATTTGATGAGTTCAAAGCAATTGAATCAAATACATAGATTTTTTTAAGTGGGGAAAATAAACATATATTTTATTTTTATTTGAGCCATATATTCAAAACAGCATTGCAAATAATAGTACATAACCACTTATTAAAATGTGGTAAAATTTTTTTTAAAGTTTGGGCAAAAAAGAAAACATTTCATAGTAGTTATAAATTGAGTTCTCTCAAAATATTTAAATATTTACTTTCATAACTCTTGACAATCCTTATATTTCTCTTCATAGTAATAATAGTAACCTTTCCTCATGAAAAACTTTCAGTAATTATTGGGGAAAAGAGCAGTTCAAAGTGCTGATAAAACAGGGACTGTCTTTAAATGTGTTGGGAATTCAGTTGTTCTTTAACAACTATTCACAGAGTATATAATATGATAATTAACATAGCTTATATTTAAAGTAAAATTAGCCTGATACCACGTTAAATTGTTTAAAAATAAAATACCGGATTGATCAGCTTTTATAATAAAATATCTTGATTAGGGAGAACAAATCCCAACCACTGTTAAGAACCCAGAATCTTTTTTTACCTAAAAAGTTTATGTTGGATTAATTTGTAACGTTGAAAATGAGACATGTATTTTAAGCCATTTTAAATCTTATCTGACAAATATATAACTTTCGATTGAAGTTTATTTCATAACCTTGTAAAACTCCGTTTAATGATTTGAAAATTACCAGGCATGTTTATATGCATATACATGATTGACTGACTGCCAAATTAGGTCGTGATTAAGCATGTAAACTTATAAAATGGTTTTGGGAGTAACTTATTGATTGATATAATAAATTTGATTCACAGGAGATAATCAAAATCAGAACAACAAGAAGCCAGGAAATAATTACTTAAATACAGACTCTTCTTGCTTCCCACGGGAGTGTCTTCAGACGCTACCGAGGGCTGTGCACACTTCAGATTCGCTCACAACGGTTCTATGGCACAGCGGCAAGAAACCTGGACTTGAAGCAGGGCCATTGTCTGCACACCTGACAGTCCAGCATTTTCTTTAACATCTTCAAACACACTTTTTATTTGCAGAATAATGACTACCTGACAGTTTTCATGAAGATTAAGCATCACCCTTTATATATTTATTATAAGAGACACAGAAGGTGCTTTATAAGGTGACTCTGGTAGGTCAGTCCCAGGGCTCGTGGTGCGCGGGCAGAAGGCAGGTGAGACCAGGCGGCCCACTAGCGGATCACTGTAACAGCATTTCTGAGAAATCTTTCTTATAATCTCTACGTTCAATTCCTGTTCAATATATTTCCTTTTTTCTCTCAAAAACAAAACACTCTGGAGATGCCTTTCTGGGGGTAGCCACGTAGGGACACCCCACAACTAGCCCCTGGATCCAGTAAAACCAGATTCCTTAACTTAAAAATCACTCCCCTGCGTGTATGCCAATCACTCGGCTTCTAGGAGTGAGTTTGCTTATATGTAACTAAACGCTGCTTCTGCGCCATCCATCCCTTGGCTATTGATTAAGAGTATTCTATAGAAACAGCTGCATGAGAGACACAGTTGTCGCACATTTACTTTGATTCCCCCCTTTTGCTATACGTTATGATTTTGGAACATCGACTGAAAAATGTTTGTGGGCTTCAGTGCACCTCTGTGCCTTTTGGAGACACGAGCTAAAGTGAACATTTCCTTTTCTAACCATTAGATGGAACCCATTCCCTCCCCCTGTAGGACCTCAACTGTAAAACGTGCTAAGAAATCACAGGGGAATGACTGTCAGGGCACCAGGGAGGAAGGACACTTCATCCTCCCACGTTGGGAGGATGCCCCGTCCTTTATCTGAAAGTGGCCGCACACCTTGTGTGACTTATGAAGCGGTTCCTGTGAATACAGCCTCTGTGGCTTCACAGCCTGCCTAGTAACACTGATTTGGGAATGTCCAGGAGGTGACTGATTTAAAGGCACGGTTGGCACCAACTTCTTACGCAAACTACAGAGAAAGGGGAGGTCACGGCCACCCAGTCCAAAGTATTCTCTGATAACTTACTTCTGAAAATTGCTTGTCCCTTTTTACTTTTACTCAAAAACATATTGTTCATACACAATTTCTAGTTACTGTTGCCCTCTGTTATTTAAATAATGAAACAATATTGCATTTTCATTAGCTGCAACATCAATGTGTGCACCAGCTTCACAGGTATTTATGGCATGTTTTCCTGATCATTAAAATTAAAAATCTTTTGAGAATAAAAGTGGGAGATTTATTCAACATGTACTGATAGAAATCATCACTTCATATGGTTGCAACTTGTGCCAGGAGCTAGTAAGATCCTAACAGAAAATATTAACTATACAGTAGAAACTACAGCAAAGATGCATAATTCACAATTTTACATAAGAAATGACTCACGTTTATTTTTAATCACTTATGTACCAGTTTCATGAATATTTCATACATGATTTTTTTGTTATTAAAAATTTATCTTTTTAGGTTACTCTTACCTGTCAGAGTAAACACATACTTTTTTCTCTAATAGTCAATGCCTCTTTAATTACTAAACCAGAAAAGAAAGTATTACCACATAAATTGGTTAAGAGGCTATGGTTACTTTCAAGTTGCATATTATTCGTTAACATAAAACACAGGGCAAGATTTTCCCCTCTTTTGTCTATTAATGCATCTGTTTCCAAGGTCTGGAAAAGTGACGAACACATAAGAGTTAATAAACACTTGCTGAATAAAGTCAAAATGTACTATTACAAGTTCCTGTTGGTCATACCAGTCACCCACTGAGGGCAAGGAGGACGGGTTCTGCACAGGCAGTAAAGACATCATCACATGACATCATCATTGCGGACTTTTACCACCAACCTGACGCCCTGGAGAAACGTGGTCGAGACTTTCTTGAGCATCTATTGCCCCAAGGTCTTCTGTCTATCGACGCATTTACTCTCCACGAGGACCCGGCGAGTCCCTGCCACTGGTGCTGTTCCACAGGTGACGGAAGTGAACTGAGACCACAATCAGGGAATACTCATTCCATTTCTCCTACGTATCACATTCTACCTGTTATAATAATTCCTACAAGATGCTCCAACTAGACCATGGTTCCCCAAAGACAGACTCTACCTCATTCCTTTCTGGATAGCCTGCCATACGTACTCAGCACAGCAAGCTAAAACGGAACATGCAAAATAAACCTTGCTGAAGGAACGTGCGTGTAAAAGGGGGTGTGTGTGCGCGTGTGCGCGTGTGCGTGTGAGTCTTCTCCTCTGAATTGCTTTGAGTATCGTGGAGCTGACTTTAAAACATCATTCTGAGAGACACTCACAGGTAGTGTGCTATTGAATTTCACATCCTCCTGTTCAGAACATCAAATATTTTTATTTTTCTGGGACCTGGACATAACGCCCTCGGTTAAATTTCATTTTCAAATTTTACATTAAGAAAACAAAGAGCACAAGACTTGGCTGCTCTCGAGAAAAGTCTGGATAGTTCCCTTTTCTGCTAATGAGAGGATGGTAAATTGCCAACTTCCTCTTTTTGCTATAGATGCTGGGATTAAAAATTAAATATTAATTTTGGTCTCTGCAATTCCATTAGTCTCCATTTACAGTTAATTAATTCATTCCTCCTGGCTTTCATTTTCTATTTCATTATATTCTGAATATGTTTTGTTCAAACAAGTCACTGGAAGTAATTTGTAAATACAGGTTATGGATATATTTAATAAACAAAAGAATGGTGGCAGATCTCTGGATTGGTTTTGCCCACATAATGGCACAGACACTCATGAGACGCCTGCCTCTTATGGCCCTCTTATGTCATAGTTTCCCCAGAAAACATACAGGACTTGAACAAGTTCCAAGTGATGTGGCTATAAATTTGCATTTTTACACCAGCCCACTCCATCATCAAACCGCCGTGTGCTGAGAACCTCCCATGGGGATGACAAAATAGACAGCATGGTCCGTCCTCAAGAAAAGCTCCCTCACTACTGACACAGCAGCACCCACAGCACAGCTGTGATTTACCCGGGGGGAAATCCTGGCGCCCCCGGGGCTGGGTGTAAGTGGGTCACCCCCCAACATGGGGAGGGTCAGCCGCCCCCGTCACCTCACATCCCCCGGACACTGACTGTCTACACATTTCTCTCTTTACTTCAGCCGTTTTTTCTAAGCACACATAATTTTTACCTCTCATTTATAAAATATTCATAACTCACAGATTTATTCATCTCATATTCTTTCTATTTGTACTCTTGGAACCTACCTACCAGTACAGACATCACTGCAAGAAACTCACGGCTGTTTTTCAATATTTTCAATATTTCAATACAGTCTGAAACACAGCATGGAACATGCACGTCGGGTGCAGGGTCTGAAACGTTCGGATCTTCCTGGGGGCTAGTGAAGAGTTACAGGCATATTTGCGAGGAAGTAATTTGAAGGAGAAGCATCGTCCGCCCCGCTTGCCCTCTTCCCAGTGGTCCCGGAACGGCTCTCGCCCGCTGGGCTCTCATCATCACTAATTGAAGGCGCTGATACTGGTGTAAAAGATGTATCTGTGGCATATTACATGAGTGCATTACCGTGCTGATGTTTTTAAGGGAAAGCAGCCTCCCTTTCTGGAAGCATCCGTTACTTACTGAGGTCTGGTCTACCCTGCACAGCTCCCCAGCGCTCCCATTAGCTTTAATGAAAGGAACACAATATGGGAACAGCGAGTGGAGAGAGAATTCATGTCATAATATGCACTTGATTGCAAGCCACAGGTCCCACTGTTTTCCAACTGCCTCCTCGAAGCTCGTGCTTTACAACAATTAGCAAGATGAAGAAAAATAATACCATGTAACACCTGGTCCACAAGAAGTCTCCTCCAGGTGTGCACAGCAGTACGTGAGCTACACGGTCCACAAGGAGGTTCGACTTTCCCCATTTAAACATGGCGCCTTCATCCCTCATCGGATTTTCTAACTCTTGCTGGAGCTGAGCACACACAGACACAGGTACAGAAAAGCCTCAAAAATGTACACGATGTTTCAGGTCAGGAAATGGAGGCCACCTTCTCCTGGAGCAGACTGCACTACATTCCAATGTGTGCCATCGGAGGTGCCAGGGGAGAATGGCTTTATTTTGATTGCTCCTACAAGATGTGATAGAAATATTGATGAAAAGTTAAGGGGTCATCGGCCTGGCAGCAAAGCACACAGGGAGAGAGAGCAGGAAACATGGTGATTAAACTTGCTTTTAATGCACAGGATATGGTGTGTGCTGTGGACTGAATGTCTGTGTCCTCCCCACCAAGTTTGTGTGTTGAAGCCTTGCTGCCCAATAGTATTACAGCAGGCGGCAGAGCCTTTGGGAGGGAACTGGGTTTAGATGCAGCAATGAGGGTGGTGCCCCCATGATGGGATTAGTGTCTTTGTAAGAAGAGACCAGGCTCTCCCCTCTCCGCCCCAGCCTCCCGTGTGAGGACACACGGAGAGGGCAGTCACCACCAGCCAGCAAGAGGGCTCTCACCAGGATCCGAACTGGCCCCGCCTTGATCTTCGACTTGCCAGCCTCCCGAACTGTGAGCAGTAGATTTCAGGTGTTTGTAAGCCGCCCAGTTTAGGGGACTTTATCTAAGCACCCCGAGCTGACTGAGACACTGTGGAGAAGCACCTAAATTTTACAGACTGTTTGAATTGCAGGCAGTCATGAAAAAAAACCTAGTAAACATAAGGCTTGTTCCAAAAAGACCATTCACCACTAATAACAGAACTATCTCCTCAGCCAGCACCGCCAGAGCTAAAACTTCCAAGCTGGGGAGGGCGCCTCACCGGGCTCGTAAACTGCGTACATCACAGAAACACCCAGGCTAGGCTCTCCTTGCCAGGTGCATCCGAATCACATCCTCTACCCCCTGATGCCTACTTTTCTCTCTTTCCTCCTTTCTACATTTTTAAAAAATACAAAATTAGCTTCATCCGTGTTGAGTGCTTTGCAATTTATAAAGTACTTTCTAATATATGGTTGAAGGCTGACCCTTTTAAGAATTGTGTGAGCCATGCATTTTATTACCAACCGCTGGCATGCACGGGGACTTCATCGTTCGGAGTAAAGTGAGTTTGCACGGCAGCCGAGCACATGCTAATGTTATCCTAGGTCATAATTAACGTGGATCAGGAAGAGACTGCAGGATATGCCTGGATTTCAGATTTAATGTGGTCTTTTATATGTGGTGTATTCCAAGAAGTGTAAAACAGCTTTCCCCGCCCTGCGGTCCGGGACACCTCAAGGTTACCGAAGCATCTTTGGCCAAACTTTCGATCAAGTGTCTCTGATCCTCTCTGCTTGCGTTTGCTTCCGCACCTGATGTCGTGGGTTCTCATTTTGTTGCCTGGTTCAACGTTGTGATGGATAAACACACATCCAACTCCTGCTTCCGCTAATTTCTTCCAACTGCCACTTCCCAGGGATACCTAACTTCTGCTCAATTATGCCAATGCTGTCCAGGTTTTTTCTTTTTTGAATAAAAATTCACTAGAGTGACTGCCTATGCTTTTCAGAATTTGGATAATTCGGTATCTTCTACTCTCCCTGGATTTTTCTCTAAAGGTCCATGTGACAAGGCGCGAGGACCTGGAAAAGTTTCTCAACCTTCTTCCACCCTGCAAGCAGGATTCTCAGAAACTGAGGAGACAAACTTCACGATCCTGGTCCTTTGCAGCTGACGCCCCCATGGCTTCCCTGGCCAGAGCTAGCATATCTGCAAATCCTTGCAAGAGCTTAGCTTAATTTAAGCTAGACTCTTCAGGCTGAAACCCCCACCACAGCACTACAACGTCCCTACGGCTTCCATGGGGCTTCCCAAAAAGACTGCGTCCCTTCCCTCACCCGGCGCCACGTGACTGCCCACACCAGGGGCCTCTTCATATTAGACTCTCGTGTGCAAACTATGGCTTCCCCACAGTCAACACTGCCCACCTGGTAGCTTACCCTATTTGTGTGCCACATGCTAAGCCACCAGGAGACCAGACAGAAAACTATTGTGGAAGTCCTGCTGGACACACAACATACCTCAGCATGGAGCCCACAAAGTTGTCCCCAGTGGAAGAAACGCAACCTTGTTTACCTCAGTCTTTCAAAACTACTCTGACAACACATTTTACATTTTACATTTGATCAGAGGCCAGGAGTGTCCCCTCAGACTGCTTTTTCATGATCGTTCATGTCATAATTTATCTCTTTGATTCTAAGAGTCCCCCCAAAGCAAGACTGTGAGGCAGTTTATTCAGTCATACATTTGAGGAACACGCAGGAGGGAGCCTTTGGTCCTGCGTGCCCTGCGCTTGGCAAGGACGGGAGGGGGAGTCGTCGGACCCGCCCTCGCTCATGGGTCGGCAGGTTCAAGTGCACTCCTACAAGTACTCAAGATCTGCGAGGCCTCCTGTGCCATAAAGGCAGTCAGAGTTAGCCACGATCCGTGCTCAAGTCAGCGTTCGCAGGATTTAAGGCCCGCGACTACCTGCATCTGTGGGCTGCATGCTGTTGAGTGATTCCTGCTCTCTTTCTGGGACTTGGTTTTCTCATCTGCAAATGGGGAGCATACCTGCACGCACATCACGGGCGGTTGGTGGAGTCAGGTGAGTTACTGCACAGAAGGCACTTCCAGCAGGGGCTTGCACACAGGATCCACACACAGACCCTAACTTATACAACATTGTTACTATTACTCCTTATGATTAAACGCTCTGCCAGAAGCAGAGTCCTGAATCCCCGTAAATTATTTTGCTTTATTTAGATCTGTAAGACCCACTGAGAAAGTCACCAGCCGTTAAGAAGTACTACTTTTTAAATCAGTCCTATTAGAGAATGTGGGGCAAGGTGCTGCCCAGAGGCCAGACCCCAGCACACGACGCTGGAATGTCTCTGGACATGGAAAGACAGAGGGGATCGTGCACACCCGGGGAAAACTGAGGGAGGAAGAAGGCGATGGAAAAACAGAGAAGGAGGCGGGAGCAGCAGTCGGAAGCTCCGCACGGCCGCAAGGACAGCGGCCATCTCGGTCACAGCTCGCCCAGGCCAGGCACACAGCTCCGCCACTAGCATCCAGCCCTCCATCCCCGTGACAGCGCGAAAATGTCCACTTGCAGATAAAGAAACAGGGCTCAGAGAGCGGCGTCGTCAGCCCGAGGAGAGGGAGCCTGCCGAACTGGGGGGCGGGGCTGCGGCTCAGCTCCAGACCTGCTGGCGTCCTTCCCCTGGAGCTTGCAGCGCCCTGGCGGCCCGGCGCCTCCTGCGCCCCCCACGGCCCC